AACTGAATTCTGGGTCTGCTTTTCAGTAATATAACACTGGAGCTACAACAACCAGACTCTTTTCTGGATGTTATGAAAGCTCTCAGACATGACTTAAAGCTCCCGAATTTGTAATTTTCAAAATTGAAGTCTTCCAGGGTAGCCAATACATCCCACACCACAGCCCTTATTAGTCATCGTGACAGCCAAGTGGTCAAGCAGAAGTAGCTGCGTGGCCGCGGTTCAGCTGGCACTTCATCACAACCATGCACAGGCCATAATTGCATTAATTATGCTGTCACTTCATGCCAACTTGCATCACACTTCCCATTGGCAAAGAGCTCAGTACTGCTCCTGATCAAAACACAAGACCAAACTGCTTTCAAAAGCCCATCTATTTCCTAGGACCACTCCTGATATCAATTCTGTATCAGCCAGAGTCCAGTCAGGAGAAAAAAAAAAATCACACAGTAATTTGAACCATAGAGGTTTAATATAAATAATTACTAACTAGTAAAATGGAGCCCTGGTGAAAGGTTTTCTGCAGAAGAAAGACTGGGTTTTCTACTCTTGTAAACAGTGACGGTCTCAGAAACTCACAGGGGTCGCTATGGGTCAGCATTGACTCAATGGCAGTGAGAGTGAAAGGGCTTTCAACGTTAAGATCATGCAAATGCTAAAGAACCCTGGACTACTAAATATGGGGAGGAGCCACTACCGCTATGGCTGAAACAGAGTACTGAAGAAAGATCAAATTTGGAAGAAGCATGGTATGGTCCAAGGGTTGTAAATAATAAAACCTAAATCCAGAGGAGGAAATGGTATTAGAGCTTAAATTCTGAACATTTAAGTTTGCTGAAAGTTATGGATGGCAGTAGAAGTCCAAAATACATTTGCAAGGTCCCCCCATGGATTACGCCTCCAGTGAATTCCCTCTGACCATGGACCAGGGATGTGAATAGCTGTGCTACCAAACAGAGTGCACTGGAAAGTGCACTATTGTAGATGTCCTTAGGTCAAAATGTAACACCTTATCATTTAACCTCTGTTTCGACCCATTTGAAATTTATTTCAGTTTTAATATTTTCAACTTTCTTTTCCATTGTTTTCCTCTGCTTTATTTTTTGTTGAAGTTTTTGCTGTTTGTTTTTGTTTTGTATGTTTTTCTGTATATGAAAACTAAGATAGGCCAATCTAAACAGATAAATTTCCAAGGGGCACAGCAAGGGAAGTTGGGGAAAAATAGAGTTAACTCAACGATTAAAGAAAGGAGAAAATGCAAAAATAAAGAAAGGAGAAAATGCTCTGAATTTTTTGTGTATGATGATGATTGTATAACTCTTCTTAATATGACTGAACTATTGAATTGTATTACATATGAACTATATGCCAATGAAACTTTTTTTGTAATTGGAAGAGGTATTTCTTTCCCCAGGAATGAAATTCCAACTTAATGGGTTGAGTGTGACTTTAATTCATTGGTTGGTGAAACAGTTCACTGAGGTGACACAAGATGAGGCTGGAAAGCAAAAAGATGTCACTAAAACATTGTCATCAAGTCAATCTGACCAACCTGGACCCAATAGGAGAGCACAGAGCTTCCTCAGAGGGTTTCCAAGGCTGTAAATCTTTGTACACAGAGACTGCGGCATCTTTCTCCCACACAGCAGCTCTGGGTTCAAATCACTAACCTTCTTGTTAGCAGATGCACGTTTAACCACTGCACTAACAGGACTCCTAGTAGCCAATGAAAACTGTCAGGGAATCTCCCTCTGGGAAGTTAGAAGAACTTAGGTAAGAAGCTATCTGGGAGTAAGCTACTGAAACTTACTATGAAACTCCTCCCTCAGGTGCCTAAGATACCATGTGGGAAGGTGGTTGGGGCACCAGGGAACCTGAGAAGGTGCGTGTGAAAATGGTGCTAAAACCCACTGGGGTTCAGTGCCACTGAGCGTCCTGCAGGCTAATGGAGTACCACAGGGGTGAAAGCATGCCAGAACCCATACCCACACAGTGTTTCTCCAGCAGTAACGCTAGGGATAAAAAAAATAACATCAAGTCTGCTGGCAAATGAGAAATGTTTAAAGGGTTCATTCAGCTCTAGTTATCCCAAGACAGAGCAACCAGGAGTGGATTTAAAGATACAACACTCTGCATCTCTCTAAGAAAACTGAGTGTATTGAGTGTAGGAGTAGGATCTCATCCATCTGAATCCCAGTGATCCAGCCAAGAACAGGACACAGTAAGAATTCAATAAATGAGTTTAAATTTTAAAAGCTGTTTATATGTCATAGCATACTGGTATAAGTAAACATAATTATGAGGTCAATAGAGGTATTTTTAAATAGTTGTCATTTTAAATATTTATAACCTACAACCTTTTTTACTGTGAAAACAAAAAAGTTCTAAAAATCTTTTTTGAAGGCAAGTAGAAATTATCGTCGACACTGTTGTTCGTTGCTGTTAAATTTCTTCTGATTCATGATGTATGCAGAGAACTGCCCCACAGGGCTCTCAAGGGTGTGACCTTTCAAAAGCAGATTGCCAGGCCTGTCTTCCAAGGTTCCTCTGGGTGCATTCAAGCAGCCAATCTGTTGGCCAGTAGTTGAGTACTTAACTATTTGCATCAGCTAGCCATCTTAACTTTGACACTACACCAGTGAAGATAAGCAGGAAAAATTCAAACCAATGGGACATATTAATATTTTATTTTCTGCAGTATCTTCTTCAAAGAGTTCAAAATATGTCATAGAAGCAAACAAAATTAACTTTCTTAGCAATACTGAGCAATAAACTGAAGATAAGAATATCCTTTTAG